ATATCTAACTATTCTTTCATCAACTATATTGGTTAAGATGAACAAAAATGAAACATTACATCCATTTTTACATTTTTATATTCACAAGTGTTAAGTAAACAGTAAACATTTACATTTAACACAGTTTTGGTTTATAAAACGACTTCGGTCAGTGTAATATCGCATCTAACTCGCGTCTAGTACACGTAAGGGACTTTTGTTTTGAACTATTTTGGGTTATGGATGAATGAGGGGAAAATAAAACTCGAACTAATAAGAAACCAGTTGCTTAAAGACATCCAAAGAGCTTCAGAAAAATATTGACCTTACTTTTAATATTGACCTTATTCTAAAATGCGGAAGTGCGCCTGTTTTCGCGATTGTCTTAGAACTTCCGATTCAGTCGCCTATGGGAGAAATGACTAGGAATAATAAACGGCAGAAAATGGCCAAACTACTTGCTCAACAAACAAATGTTTGCATGACTACACAGACCAAGTAGCATAATATAATAAGAAAATATTAAATTGCAACATCAAGCAGCGTATCGAGCAGTTGTTAACGTCAAAAAATTAATGGAAGTGAATGTGACCGGAAGTCGCGAGACAAAAAGATTCAAATGGCAGTGCCCACTCGTCAGCTGAGAATAAGGTGAATAGGCCAACTAAAAACCAGAGGAAGAGATATTTTACCATTCTACAGAAAGAGAAAAAAATAGAAAGATACACACTTTCTTTTTTTAGGATAGATATTAGGATTTGAGTTATTTTATTTTATTTCATAATTGCATCAAATGAACAAGTGAAGAGCAGCAGCAGCAGCTTTATATCTGCTTTGGTCATCAGCAGCTGTGATCAATGAGAGACTATGAGTGGGCGGAGACTAAAACGATTAGACAATCAAAGGATTGACGCCGGTTTCTTTCACTTAAAGGGCCATGAAACCCCCTCGTTTCAGCAGGGTGTTTTCACACCTCTACTTTGGAAAAAGTCAGAAAAGTGGGCGTGTCCAGCTCTGTTTAGGGGGGAGTGTCGGAGGAACAAAAGAGGCTTGGTGTGGGAGTGTCTATTTGGGCGCGCTGAATTTCAGAGTCAAAACACACAACCACAGCGGACAATGTGACTGTGTTTACATGGACATCTGTAGTCGAATTATTTGCCAGATTATTAAATGGTGGACTTTAACTGCAGTTTGGCTCTTTCATTCAGGGAATTCATTCATGCCCCTCCCGACAAACGTGATATTTGATTCGAGGCGCTGCTCTAAGCGTGTATTTTTTATGCAATGTTTGATACCGCACGGCGAATGAGAGAAAAAAAAAACTCAGCATTTCCCGGAAACTTAGATGCACACGGCAGGTAGCGTCAGAAAGCCGCGTGTGTTATTCCGGTCACAAAATCCAACACGAGGTTATAGTTTGGTTGTAACTGTTAGTGCTAACTTGTTTACACTCGTTGCAATAGTTTGTTTGATACGAATAAAATACGAACTGAATAAACAAAGAGCGCTGGTCGCTCACTTACCAAATCTGTAGAGACAGGACAATCACCAGCAACTAGAGCCACGTCTTTATTAAGAGGAGACAACAAGTGAATCCGGATCTCAGCGTTTGCAGATGAGAACAGTTCCAGGTAAACAATAATCCTCCTTAGACACGTAAGTTATTGTTGTCGCGTACACTGTTAATCCACACGTGACTCTGAGCTCTCACAGAGAGAAAATGAAAACGAAACTTAACTGCAGCAAACTATAAAAGCAACACTTCACGCTTGTTTTGCCAACACAACGTGGCGTCTCTGCCATCTACACTCTGACAGTAATGAATATTAATGAAGTTGCACAATAGAGCGCGCTGATTGGTTTGAACCAAGCCTTACTCATGCATTAATGCAACACACTGTAAGACGTAATAAGACTCACTCTGGCACAGACGCCCAGTCTGCACGCTGGAATACAGGCTATTATGTCATGGCTGTGACGCAGCTTCAAAAATTCGTTTCAAACCAGAAGTACGAATTTGCTTGAAATAACGCAAAAACAACCAATTTACACTTTTTAGTGAAATATAGGTGCAGTAGGTGATCTGCCAAAATGCTAATCTGTTAGCATATTAGCTTTGGACGGCGGGGAGGGACTGTGTTTCAAAGCTATGCCTCCTGATATCATGAACGCGGCCACCGTGACACCACAGCAGACAACCTACTAGTTTATGTCATTCACCAGTTAGAAGTGTATGTAGTGGTTGTCTGGCGGCATGCAATGACACTTATTATTAAGCCACACTTAAATGCTATTTCAGAGCGAATATTCAGAGTAGCATGGTAAACAATATAGTGAGAGCATCACAGGTTGTCATTGTTCAGAAATTACCCAATGTGAATATAAAAGTAACTTCAGCTCAGTAAAGCAGGCTAGGTGGAATACCGCTATTTACTGATGTTTTGTTGTTAAACTAAATAAAAATCTACATTATCTATGCTGTAAACGGACTTTACAGCATAAATAGCCACTAAAATCTCCCGGTGAAAGATTGATGTGACTGAACAACACTTCTGTGCATATAACCCATTTGTAACAACAACATCTGCATCAGCTTTGCGTGGAGCTAAAATAGTTTTAAAACAGAGCATTACCCGTCTAACAGAAATACTTCAGCCATGGTGTCGTCCTTCCTCCAGCATGCAAAACTAACTCCAATATTGATTCAGGAGTTTAAAAAGTTTCAATTCAGCATTTGATTTTACTGCAACTGTGACTGTCTTGTGTGCACGTGTGTTGAACACGCGGCACTCATGCAGGCGTGCACACGCTAATGGCAAATATGCGTGAACAGAGATGCGCAAAAGCCCAAATCTGCATTTGCTGACAGACAGTTTGAGCTACTTATCGGATTAATGGGAGATTTCTGTCCAACAATATTTAATTGGATGAACATTTTTTTGTTTTATGGCTTACCTAGAATATAAAACACATTTAAACACATTTAGATCATTTACTGTAACCATTACTATTAGACTGTGAAGAGACCAGCACAACCAAAATGCTTCTGAAGACAATCACGTACTGCACCTTTAAGTTCAGCATAGTTTCAAGTTCTTTATTAGCATGATTATGTTAATGTAATCTATAGTTAAATTTTTAGCAAAACAATAGTTATAATAAAATTTTTTTTAAAAACGCACAACATGGGTGATAGTTTTACTTATTTTACAACAAAATGTTTCAAGAGTTCACATTTAGCTCATGATTTATACATAGCTTTTTTGGCATGCTGTCCCGGGAGAGAGCCCTAAGCTCAAGGGATCCTCCAGCCCAGGGCTCCCCCCCTTTTGCAGGGCGAGTGGAGATTGAGCTCAGGTCTATCTCAAACTCCCCCGCTGCTGAGGCCAAGGCGAACTTCCTGAGAGTAAGACATTATAAAAAAAGGTTTAGGCTTGTTTTATCTATAATATAGAGCACATTTGGATGGTGGGAGGAAACCGGGGAACCCGGGGGAAACCCACGCGGACACGGGGAGAACATGCAAACTCCACACAGAAATACCAGATGGCTCAGCGAGGACCCAACACCATTGGTATTCTTGCTGTGAGGCAACAGTGCTAGTCACTGGGCCACCGTGCCGCCCATTCTGGATAAAGGAGGAAGAAGGGGAGGAGGGGGGTTTCTTCCAGACAAAGATAGTTGTAGAAAGGAAATGAGGATATATATATAGTGGTTTGGGATCCTTTGATTGGAGGATCATAATTAGTTAATGTGGACCAGCTGGGTAAATCATGAGCACATGCTTCTCTCGAAATTAGTTTAAAACTAAACTTCACTTATACTAGCAAAAATAAATAAACTAAAGGATAAACATGTTGTAATTCATGTTAAGTCACATATTACCCTCCAAATAAAAATTACAATGGAATTATATGCAGACAGACAGACGGACGGATAGATCAATGCAATAATGGCTGTCAAAAAGAGAGAGGAGACCAATAAAAACATTAGTGATGTGCTTGCAAACACACACACACACACACACACACACACACACACACACACACACACACACACACACACACACACACACACACACACACACACACACACACACACACAATTATATAAATGAATCATTGTTAATGTAGGTGAAGCAGTGGCACAGTAGGTAGTGCTGTCGACTCATAGCAAGAAGGTCGCTGGTTCGAATCTCGGCTCAGTTGGCATTTCTGTGAGGAGTTTGCATGTTCTCCCTGCGTTCGCGTGGGTTTCCTTCCGGGTGCTCCGAAGACATTAAATTGAAATGACATTGTGAATTGGGTAGGTTAAATTGTCCATAGTATATGAATATATGAGGGTGACAGGCCCAGACGACAGGCCGGCTGGAAGGTGTAAAAAAAAAGTCGTTATATGGACAAGTCTAAATGGAGGACTTGTTCTAAAAGAGCCGACCCCGCAACCATACAGGACTAAGTCCAAAGAAGAAGAAGAATCATTGTTAATGTACTGATCATTATGTTGCATTGATAATTAGATAAAGCAATTATTGAATTGAAGAGAGAGAGAGAGAGAGAGAGAGAGAGAGAAGTAGAGGTTTGTTAAGCTCACTCATACCCAAGCACACTTCATAAAGCACAATTATTTTCAGAAATGGAGTGATTGTAAGAAAGTGTCCAGTGCAAATGTGCAACACTGGTGTCGGTTTATGTGTCAAGGAGATGAAAATGTTTTCCACAGGTGGTTTGTCAAGCCCACTCACCTCTGTGAGTTAAAGCAATGTATTTGTAAGCGTTTTCAGACTTTCAGCTGGTTGTATAAATGATCATACAGTTTATTGGCTCCTCAACACAAACATCAGCTGACGCAGCTTCATGCATAGTGAAACACAGTAATCTCAATAGCGAAGACTGAAGCTTCATTCCACCACTCCTTCGCTTTTATGGTGGGTTAATGATGCAGTAATCTTGCGCTGGTTTCCGCATGCGTTTTTCAAGAACAGAGAGAGACTGGGGTCAAAGTTTGAGCCGCAGAGTTAAAGAACGACCAGCGTGAGTGAAGATGAAGGACCCACTGAGCAGCTGTACTGTGAGTTTCATATGAATATCTTCATAACTGCTAATCTGACGTCCTTGCTAGAATATAATTATGCTCGAATTTAGTCAGTGTTGATGTCTGCTTTATATCATACACTGTGGTGGAGGAATCACTTATTAACTAGAGGAGTAAAGTTCTGTCAACTCGGTTAGGCTTTGCCTGAAAAACTCTGGGAAATGAATGAAAGTTTAGGCAAAGAAAACAGCTGATTGATTGGTCTCAAGCAAATAATGGTCACATTTGATTTCAGGGGTTACCAAACTCGGTCATGGAGGGCCAGTGTCCTGCATATTTTAGTTCCAATCCCGATTAAACACACCTGAACAAGCTAATTAAGCTCTTTCTAGGTATAATAAAAAACTTCCAGGTCGGTGTGTTGAAGGAAGTTGGAGCTAAACTATGCAAGACACCGGCCCTCCAGGGCATCCCTGCTTTGATGTACAATTCATGCTATTCACAAACCACTAACTGTGCCTTTTAGCTCAATAAACTGCTCATTACCTGCTTATTAATAGGTAGTAAGGTAAAAGGGTTTAGGTATTGGGTAGGATTAGAGATGTTGTATTTTATAAATGCTAATAAACAGTTAATGTCTTAATAATAAGCAGGGGATAAGTAAGAAGTAAACGTTGTGAATTTTTACTTGAACTTAAGTGTAAGCCCAACATTGTTAAATGGTTGCTAGGGAGTTCTGGATGGTTGCTAGGGTGCTTTGGTTCTAAATGATGAACAGGGTCCCCACTTTAAGCCAAATTCCCTGACATATGCTGACAAAAAATTTAAGTGACACAGAATTCCCTCCCATTTTGGCCACATGGTAAAGTTTTGAATTGAAATGAATTTTATTTGACAGATTTTAGACAAATTGTACAAAAAGTATTCCATACACTTTGTTAAAAAAAACTGTCGAGGATAAAAACACAATAAAGCCCTGGGCTTATTTCCATTGTGGTCCTCTGTTAAATAAAAACAATGTATGGCTTCAAAATACTAATGAAGAATAAAACAAACAGTCGCCACAGAGGTACGAACAGTCAACTTATCCAGCACATGTTCTACACAGCTAATGGCCTTCCAGCCGCAAACCTATTCACACTCAAGTAACATATAAATTAAAACATCCTTGTCCACCATGCAAACTAATTATCCTCAAACAACCATCTTTTGATAGCTTTTTTGAACAACCTTAAATCTTTTATTTCCTTGATTGATTTTGGTAGTTTGTTCCACATGATTGCACTTGTATATCAAAACATTTTTCCCCACTAAACTTTTAAATTTAAATAAACAAATATTAAAATCCCAACTCCTAGTACTGTATGAATGCTGTTGCCTCACCTTTTGAAAATAGTCCATCAAATAACTAGGAACCACATTATTAAACATTTTACGCACCATTCCCAGTTTTAAAAAACACACTCTATTACTAACAGTTAACATACCTAATTTATTAAAAGACTCTTTGTGCAAATGTGCTCTAGGATGCATTTTTAAAATTATTCGTACTAATTTATTTTGTGCCTTTTGCAATTTCTCCTTCAAACTCTGTGAGCAGCTACTGTACCAAAATGACGTAGCATGATCAAAATGGGGTTGAATTAAAGCTCCTGCCAACAATTGTAAAGAATGAACATCCAACAGATCAGATTGTCTTGCTAAAAACCTAATTTTTCCACAAATCTTCATAAAAACTTTTTTTGCCATATCATCTCATGATAATTTATTATCTATTAAACAACTCAAATAATTTACCACATTTTTTTACTGAATTTTCCAATCATTAATCTTAACTACAAAATTATCATCTTTTTAAATTTTACTCTTGAAGCAAATAAAATAGCCTCTGTTTTACCCATGTGTAAAGAAAGTTTGTTGTCTAAAAACCAGTTGTAAACACTTTTTAACAGTGAACTCATAATTTCTTCCAGGGCCCTTTTGTCATGATGAGATACTAAAATTGCGGCATCATCAGCATAAAGATAGAGCTCCTCTGAACAACAGTATTTTATGATTCATGTATTTTTCCCAACGTTTATTTATTCTTTTGAATTGCATTTTGCAATCTCGATCTTGAAGAACGTGTAATTTTGTGTACATTTTTAGAGCAAAATACCACAAGAAACACCATAAATATTGCTATGAATTTTGAGTCACTCAAATTTATTTAAATCCTTTAAGGTTGCAAAAATTGTTGCGCAAAATGTGGTGGGACTGGTTTAACACTGAGCAAACAAAACCGGCCACAAACAAAAAAATACTTGGACAAAAAAAAAAAAATCCCTGACTTTCAAAGTATGACCTTTTACTATTCTATGATATTTCATTAAATTCCATGATAGTTGGAACTTAATGCCAGCCTAGCATAAAGTTGGTACAATGTTGAACGTTATTTGGGACTATAGGGGACTCTGAAGTTACATACAATATTGTCTTACACTTTTCATGAATTCAATAGTAATTGAAAAGTATGTTTTACACTCACAAAGCCAAGAGTAAAGTGTTCAAGTGTGGATAGATGGAAAACGGATGGATGGATTGGCATGTGAATGGATGGATGGATGAATGGAAAACAGATGGATAGATAGATTATCAAGAGGATGGATGGATAAATGTAAAAAGAGATCGGATGGGTGTATGAATGGGCAGGTAGATGAATGGAAATGGATAGACAGATCAATAGATGGATTAAAAGATGTATGGAAAATGGATGAATATATGGAAAACGGATGGATAAATAGAAAACAAATAGATGGGTAGATGAAGGAATGGATGGATGGATATATAGAAAAATTGATTTATAAATGGAAAACAGTTGGATAAAATGTAAGATGGATTGATGAATGTATGGATCAATAGATGGGCAGGGGGATGGATAGATGAATGGCAAATGGATTGGATGGGCAGGTAGATGGATGGAAAACGGATCGATGGATCAGTAGATGGATGGAAAAAAGGATGCATGGATAGATGGAAAACGGGTGGATGGATGGATATATAGAAAACAAATAGATGGGTAGTTGAAGGATTTATGTATAATGAAAATAGACTGATGGATGGAAAACAAATGGATGGACAATAGATACATAGAAAAACGGAAGAAAGTATAAAAACAGATGGATGGATGCTGTCGCGACTGGCTTGCATAGTTCAGGATTGGTAGAGCTACGCATCGATGAATTTGCTCTTCAGTGTTTGAACTCTCAGTGATGATTTTAAATCACACTGAACTGAGCTAAACTGAACTGAACTTAAACACTAAAAACTGAACTACTGTCATGTTCACCAGCGAACAACCACCAGATGTCGCTGGTAAACACACACACACTTAGAACTACACTTTTCCTGGACAACAACTTCATACATGCTCTTCGCCCACACACCTGCTTTCTCATTTAGCTTGATTTACATTCACACCTGAGGACTTTTAGAGACTGATTAACACACACTATTTAAGCCACACATTCACTCCTTCAGTTTGCCGAGTCTTGTTATCTGTCACAGTGACATTACAACGCGTTTCCCTTTGTCTGCCTTTGCCGTGTTTTTGATCCTTTGCCTTGTTTATTTATTTAATGCTGTTTGCTGCCTGCCTCTGACTAACTGCTTGTTGTTTTGACTTCGACTCTGGATTGCCCTCATACATCTGTTTGCCGGTATTGACCACTGCTTGCCTGACAATTCTAATAAACCTGCACGTGGATCCAAACTTCTGTTGTTGGTGTCACTCCCCGTCGTTACAACTACACTGTTCCAGTTACTATGACCATTTATGTGAAGCTGCTTTGACACAATCTACATTGTAAAAGCGCTATACAAATAAAGCTGAATTGAATTGAATCAATAGATGGATGGGCAGGTGGATGAGTGGAAAACAGATAAATGGATAGATGAACAGGGATGATGGATTGGCAGGTGGATGGATGTAATAACAGATGGATGGATCGATAGTTGGATGGGAAGGTGGATGGATGAATGGAAAACGGGTGGATGGGCTGGTAGATGGATGGATAGTTGGATGGAGCATGGATGGGCAGTTGGATGGATAAAGGATGGATGGGTGGACAATTATATAGAAAGACAGATATACATGTTGTGAATGTGTGTTTTGATTGGTGTGTGTGTGTGTGTGTGTGTTTCAGTATAATCTGCTGTATCAGGAGCTGAAGAGAATCTCTAAGAATGGAGAATTTTTCTGTAAAGAGCTTCTGGCTGTGTTTCAGCAAAGGTAACACAAACTCTGCTTTTATTCTCTTCGGCTTGCTGTATTGCTTGACCTCTAAGACTAGACTACACTGAAGATACACTCTGGAGGCCAAAACACAAAGTAAAAGTTCTGTAAAATGGTCAAAATATGCTTTGAAATGTTACGGGCAGAATCTCAGTGAGGATTCTCTGCAGGCTCCTTTGCAATAAACAACACTAGCACAACACACACACACACACACACACTTTTCTTTGAGTCTAGATCTGAACTGGAGATCAACTATTCAAAAGGACTTCAGAAGATTGCAGGAAAACTTCTTAAAGTCTCCAAAGAGATGAGTGACAAGTGAGTGAACACATCTTACGACTTTCAATGATGCGCCTAAAACTTAAAATACATATACACACAAAAAATGACGTTTGCTGTAAGTTCAAACTACTTATTTTAAATGAGCTGAAACACAATTATTGATTTTTTTTGTGGGGGGTTCGGGGGATAATAATAATAATTGATTTGTGTTCAATCCAATTAAAACTGTAAAAACTAATAAGTTAACTAAATTCCTTCATGTTGTGTGAAACTCAGCATTTTTTACAGTGTGGTATCGTAAATGAAATCAGAATTACTATAAAAAAGACATTTTTTTAAATTTGTGTGATATTAGCAATAAATATTTAAACAGAAAAAAAGTATGAATACATCAATAGAAGTATGCATGCTCACACGGAATCTGCACGCACAGAACTCACAGAACTGCAGATTTTTAGCCCATTATTGATTTTTTTTATTTACTTGTGTAAATGTGTGTTAATTTATATTTATTCAGCTTTTTAATTAATTACAGTAATATTTTTGACTAATGTTAAGTATTCATATTATTTATTTACAGTAGTTTGTAAAGTAATATGTTCTGTCTTTTTATATATATATATATATATATATATATATATATATATATATATATATATATATATATATATATATATATATATATATATATATATATGAGAGACTTGCTTTGTTTACCAAACAAAGTGGGTCTAATTGGATTTGCATTGTAAACATTAAATACAAGTTAAAAAGATATTACTTTTTATTTCATATATTAAGGTTTTAGTTATGACACTCCCAAAGTCATTCCGCATATTAAATATTAACACAATTCTGCGCAGTATTAGCAAAAATGTATGAGATTCCGTCTTGCCCTAGAAATAAGTTTTAATAATAATAATAATAATAAATAATAATATTATAAATATAATTTAATTTATATGAATTTTATACATCAACATTATTATGTTAGCAACTTATTTGTTAGAGTGACTGTTAGATTTTTAAGTTATATTAAAATAATGATTATTGTGATTTTAGTAATAAATATTAAACAAATGCATAAAAAATAAATAGAAATAAATTATATATTAATATTATATGGTACACCAATGCTATTATATTATATCAGTTTTAATTTGTTAGCTTTTTAAAATTATTTATATTAAAATGGTCTAATCAAAAATATTTTTACATGGTTAATTTTTCACTCACCGGCCACTATATTAGGTACTATAAACTGTCACAAATACCAGCTGCTCGTTAATGCAAATTTCTAATCACATGACAGCAACTCAATGCATTTAGGCATGTAGACATGGTCAAGATGATCTGTCGCAGTTCAAACCGAGCATCAGAATGGGAAGAAAGGGGATTTAAGTGTCTTCGAACATGACATGGTTGTTGGTGCCAGACGGGCTGGTCTGAGAATTTCAGAAACTGTGATCCACTGGGATTTTCATGCACAATTATCTCTAGGGTTTACAGAGAAGATATCCAGTGAGTGGCAGTTCTGTGGGCACAAATGCCTTGTTGATGCCAGGATAAGGCACCAAATTATCAAGCGTGATTCATCTCAGACTGGTTTCTTGAACATGACAATGAGTTCACTGTACTCAAATGGCCTCCACAGTCACCAGATCTCAATCCAACAGACCTTTGGGATGTGGTGGAAGGGCAGAATCGTATCATGGATGTGCAGCCGATAAATCTGCAGCAACTGTGTGATGCTATCTTGTCAGTATGGACCAAAATCTCTCAGGAATATTTCCAGTGCCTTGTTGAATGAATGCCATGAACAATTAAGGCAGTTCTGAAGGGAAAAGGAGGTCCCACCCAGTACTAGTAAGGTGTACCTAATAAAGTGGCCGGTGAGTGTTTATATTAAAAACAATAATTAATATAAAAAAGTACAGTAAAAAGTATTTTAAAAGTACATTTTCCCAAAAATTTTAAATGTTATTTTTATTCATAAAAATATCTTAAAATTCTTTGTGCAATTTACTTTCGAAATCAACAATATATTAAAATCTTAAACCTAAAAGTTCAAACCTTTAAAAATGACGCTTTGATTGAAGTATAAACAAGCGAAAACAACAAGTATTGCATGTCAGGTCCTTTTTACCCATAGAATTGGACAAAGAGTGAGACGAGTATTGTTCTTCAGTGTCGAGTTGTTTTCACCACATCAGCAGTGCAGGTTAATATTTGATGCAGTTGCTCTGCAAACTCATTGACAGTTTTTCCCTCTTCAAAGCTCCACGTATCATGCCTGGTCCTTCATATCAGATGAGATGTTCGCCTCGGCAGATGCCCACCGGTACCACACTACACTGCATCATTCTCCTCGCTTCATTATTCATGTGGCTGCTGTGCATTTATATCTGCATTATTCTTACAGCATTCTGGGAAACGCTCTCAATCAGGATGTCATTCAGGAAATCCGGCAAATCCTGGATGAACACGGCAAACGAAAAAGGCCGGTATGTCACATCCAGTCACTAGTACTGCAGAGTACATTTTTTAATTCATCAAATTTTACATTTTGACCAATTATATACAGTAGTCAACATTTGAAGTGAATCAAAACCTTTCATCAAAGTTGTTCTGAATCTATTGAACAACATCCGTTCAAGTCCTAGGACAAACTTGAAAACCTTTTTTGATCCACTTCAATCGTTGACTACTGTTGCATGACAATATAACTACATGTATACATTTACAAAATGATGTTCAGCGGCATTTACATTAAGTCTTCATGTACACAGCTTGACAATGCAGTGGAGAAGTCTGGAAAGCTTGTTCTCACAAACTGGAGTGAACAGATTAAGGTAAGAACATACAGCTGGAAGCTCTATAAGTCTTAGGGATTTGATCAAGGAATGTAAAATTAAATTGGGGTTCATAAGCTTTCTGTTTTATTTGAGGCCATTTATCTGCTACAGGACATAAAAAGAAAAAGTTACTTTTTATCCTGCGATTACCTCACATTTCAGAGAAAAAAAAACAGCTATAAAAGTATGACCTCATAGAGCTGGTGCAATGCAGACACAACGCAAGTGTTTTATTTATTTATTTGTTTTTTTTTGCTAATTTTGGCCCAGCGCAGGTATCATTTTTACATCCTGCGCCACGTTGTTTAAACAAATGCATTTGCGCGTATTTGAGGACCCAAGGTTGTGTTTGAAACAGGAGATGTGATAAGGCGCATTGGTGACATGTTGCTATTTTGAGGCATATAGACTGTGTCATTGACAGTGTAGCTATTAGCCATATCAGTTTGAGCCTGAATTAGACCGAAAATGAAGAGGACACAGTTGAACCTCATGCCTGGGGTCCGTTCTTCGTACCTCGCTTAAATGATCCAAGATTATTTGGCAGATCCTGGATCTTTTAATCTTGATAACTGATCTCTCGCTAATTTGGTTCTTCAAACAAGTTCGCGAATCAGATTAGAATGTCTGGATGAACTGATCTGAGATCGCTGTGTGTGTTGTGAAGGAAAGATCTATCGATCCTCGAAATCATGATCAGCAATGCAATGATTGGCTGACGGCACAGCAGCGTAATGACATCATCTGATTAATATTCAATTATCCATGTGAGCAAAATTACATCAAATTAGCAGTAAACGATTTGTTAAATATAACACGCAATAACCTTCCACATTTGTTGTGAGCTGCAGGCTTTACACTTTCATGTGTCAAGAGTATTCATCATGTATTTCAATAAAAATCAATGTATTTAGTTCCACATTTAGAAAAGATTTTCTTTATTATAGTAGCCGTTTTTTAATCAGTGTAAAGAATAACTGGTTGTTTACAAAAGCATTTTCATATTGGTAAAGGCGTCTGCAACTTTTGTGAAGCATCAAATCACTGGCATATTAACTGTCAAAACATGTTTATGACTGCATAAATGTATTATTGCTTTATCAATGTATTTAGTTCCACATTTAGAAAATATTTTCTTTATTATAGTAGCCATTTTTTAATCAGTGTAAAGAATAACTGGTTGTTTACAAAAGCATTTTCATATTGGTAAGGCGTCTGCAACTTTTGTGAAGCATCAAATCACCGGTATATTAACTGTCAAAACATGTTTATGACTGCATAAATATATTATTGCTTTAAAAAAAAGTCACATACAGTGCATTTCTATTATACACAATTTGTACTAAGCGATCTAAAAAGTTCATATCAATACGTTTTCTCTTTGCACCACCAGGTGGCAGTCTTTGTACTTTCAATTCGAGGGTGCAGATTGCATACGTTTTATTAATATCAATAACTTTATTTATTTTATTAATAACTTTTACTTTATATATGTATATATATATATATATATAGTTAAAAAATATGTACCATTTTCCCAAGTGTATATAACTACTACTGTAAGAAAATATCAGAATTCGGAACATACTTTCTGTATTATCTTTGCTTGAACTAAGCCGATCTAATCCTGTTTATATGAATTGAACCTGCTCCTGATCAGGTTTGACCTAGCAGAACTGTTGCTATGACAACAAATCTCGGATCAGCTTTGAAGAACGAAACCATCCTGGATCGTGTCAAATCTTCAATATCCAAATCCAGCTAACCGAGTAATCAACGTACGAAGAACGGACCCCTGCTCTCTAAAATAAAACCTGACAAGGGTCTTTCATTTATATTCGGGTTTTAAGCATGTGTAAGTAATATGAAACGTTCACGAGATGTAGAACGCACTAAAGCGGCTGCACAGAGAGATAAATATGCAGCAGAAGATTGTTAATGTTTATAGGGGGTTTAATGGATAACTATGAATTTGTAGCTAAATTGTTAGCAGTGCTAAACAGCATTTCCTGTTATTTACATCCTTGTTTACATCCTCACTACAACATACCATTAATGCTAGACACTATGCATGTAATGGATCAATTTTAACAACTAAAAATACAAACAGGTTGTGGCTCACAAACCACAGGTTGTGCTATTACGGTCGGAGCTGCTCCTGGGAGAGATTTTGGAAGCTGTCCTTTGTCAAATGCTAGAGCTATTTCTTTTTTTATAATTCTCTGGAACATAATTAAAACTTGACTGCAAGCACGTCAGCAATTTAGCTTTCTCCACAATAACATTACAGCCTTTGCTGCATGGGGTGTAAGCACATGGTGATTTTTTTTTTCCACAATCATATGTTTTTGTCTTCCGTCAGAAAAAAATAGCAGACTACCTCATATCGCTCGCTCCACGGAAAAATCTGCATTTATTTAATGCCCCGCTGATACTATTATATCACATAACCTTTTTACATTTTTAATATAAATCATTATTTTAAAGATTATGTCTTGATATATGGTTTCCTCTCTCACTCGCGGCTCAAGTGTGCATGCTGCGTGTAATGAAAAGACAATGACAACACGCGCTTATGTTTTTCTTTTTGTATTTTTGTAAACAGTTTTGTTATTCAAACATGATATTGCATTATTTTGCATACATGCTTTATAAGCTGTAAAATGAAAGCTAAAGCCTATTTGTTGTGTCTATGATGCAGATCCAGTAGGCCAGGGGTGGCCAGTCCTGTTCCTGGAGATCTACTTTCCTGCAGATTTCAGTTGCAACCCTTATCAAACACACCTGTCTGTAATTATCAAGTAGATTTCAGGTCCTAATTAATTGGTTCAGGTGGGTTTGATCAGGGTAGGAGCTAAACTGTACAGGAAGGTAGATCTCCAGGAACAGGATTGAGCACCCCTGCAGTAGGCCATCAGCATCAGCGCTGGTTTGGCATCAACTCATCTGTATCAAACAGCAATATTCTTCTTCCATTTTGCGGTGCTGTTTTTTATGTCACTAGGAGACGACTGAATCAGCTGCGTATTGATTGTGTGCGAGTGTTGCTGTCTATGTTGTTACAGTTATAATATTTAACAATATTGTGATATTTAAGCTTTGTAAAGTCATACAGCTCTAGATAAATTGAAACAGTGAGCACTAGTCCTTCCTCCATCTTTAAAAGTTCTCTGTAGTTGTCTTAACAACACAAACACTGCTGCTCTGGGATGAGCTGCGTGCAAAACACTTGCGGCTGTTAATAAACCATTCAAAAGACGCCCTTCTTAATACAATAAAGCACATTCGTTCTGCCCCTTTTGCAGCCAAACTCTAAAAATATATAAGATTATATTTTTTAATTGTTTAACTCAGTGGTTCTCAAACTTTTTTCACCAAGTACCACCTTAGAAAAAAATTGTCTCTCCAAGTACCACCTTACGACGCTATTTTTTAACCAGTATTAAAAATAGCGTTGTGGGCCTAATTAAGCAGCTACAGGTGTGCACAGTTTAAAAACGATGCAGATTACTTCCTATTGTTAAGAATATGTATTATTGTCAGTCACTTCAAACATTTTAAATGTTAAATGTTAAATGTCTGAACATTAACTGTGCTTGCAGGTAAAAAAAAAAAAAAAAACGTTTTAGTTAAAATGTGCTTTTAAAGGTTCATAAAAATGGCGCTGTTCTTAAAAAGTAAAAAGAAAACTGCTGCACTTAAATCTAAAGTATTCATAATAGCCTATTCATCAAAAGCTAGAAATGCTTGGACCTCATAAATATAGGCTATATGTCATATTCATACACTTTTAGACAAATCTTGAAATGTTAAATGTACATATGACAGGGTTCATACAGGGACAGCCTAATGAAAATCAATTCCAGCACCTATTTTTTTTTTTTTTAAAGACTGACATGCTATGTATTGAAGACCTGAAATATATTCTCTGCAACCCATAAAACATTACATAGGAATAGATACACATAAAAAACATTAATAATAACAATAATAATAATATTTATTAATCATATATTAATAATATAATAAACCTGCACTTAATGCTTGTGAAATCTTTTTTGTACTCAAGGAAAAATACTATTACGCTGCTAAAATAACACAAATTTTAGTAAATAATACTAATATTAGGTAAAAGTACAAAGTACTCTTTTAAAAAGTACTAGTTGGTTACTTTTGAAAAAAAAATAATCAGATTTTCATTATGAAATCACTTTTTTAAGTGTAAACCTGATTGAATGGTTTAATTGCTTAAATCTCAAAGCTACATGTATAGGAATTTGCACCAACAAAGGAAGTATGGTCGATTTTTCCTTTCATGACAATTAATCTTTTTTCAATAGCACTGGCAAAACTACCACATAATCGTTAAGGCCATAGAGACACTTTTGCCCATTTTTAAACAATATTTTCAAGCTTTGAAAGGTTTAACTAAAGTATATGGTAAAAATATTTTAATTTAGCCTTTTATTTACATATTTTACACTATTTTTTTTTTTACAATATGGCAAATTTGTTTCTTAAATAGCTGTACATCACATGTAGATTTTATTTTACACTTGATCTTAATCTAAAATACAAAAAAAATACAAGTACACTGTCAGTAAAAAAATAAAACAAATGACTTCATTTTACTTGAGGTATTTGACATATGACAACACTACATTTATCAAAGCAGTGCTTTAAGAGCCTTATTGTTAATTTTGATAAATAAACAATAAGTAACAACGAATTGTTTTGACCTGTAATGCTTTAAGACAGATCAGAATACAGCTAAATGTATAAATCACACAAATACCTCATCCAGAAACATTCCAGCATAATTCTTTTGTCGTAAAGAAATAAGTTCCACCTTTGCTAAAAGTAAGTTTCACTTCACAATACAGCCAAATAAGAAAAAGAAGACAATTTGCATTGTCATCGATCATGCATCAATCTAATTCTAAATACTTGATAACTTTGAATACTTTTGACTAAATTTAGTCAAGGAATAAAGATAAATAATGTCTACTTTAATAGTGGAGAGATCGCGATTGTATTCAATCTGAGTACACAGGCGATCGTGAGAGGACTTGCAGTTCATTTGAAAAAAAAAAAAGCCTATTTAGGAGCTAGCATATCTGTTTTAGCGATTTGCGTACATGAATGCGCTCTCTCGTGTTAAAATAAAGCACTCGCCACATTTGCAGAAATGAGTAATTGCGCAATACCTTCATTCCTGCGCCGCCATTCAGAATGTATTTAGAGGAGTGACAGGTCAGAGGCGAGTCGACTGGCTGTCGGAGAGCGAAACGTGTTTGTAGATCATCAAATAGGCAGGAAATATGTCCGCGGTTTAATTACTCTGCTAGATATCTCTATAGTGAAAACATCCGAGAAGCATTATTCCAACAAAACTTTTGTTTTTAAGTTGTTTTCTCTGTCTCTGCAACACAGAAAGCCTTTGTCCCGCCCTTACGTTTCACGCGACTAGAAAAGGTCGACTGTGATTGGCTACTTTTCATGTGAGTCAAATCACCCTTCAGAATCAATTCTTAAACTTCGGAAACTGATTTTCAGCAGCTTATGACACAATGCACTAAAATAAACATTCTAAGCACAACGTTGTGGTCGTACGCTTCACAAAACAGCCAATGCTGATCACATCGATGTTATATTACGCATCAAAGGATTAAAAGTGTTGTTTCTTTCATTATTTGGCGATTCCTCCGCGTACCACTAGGAGAAAGCCCGCGTACCACTAGTGGTACGCGTACCACAGTTTGAGAACCACTGGTTTAACTGAATCATTTATCAGTTACAAACGCACCCTTTCAGTTAACGATTAATCGATTATTTTGAGCATTCCTACTGGTAAAGTATGTTTTGATTATGGTATGCTGGTTTATACTAGTTCTTTCTGGTCTTGTGCTGGTCAGGTACAGCATATAACTAAAAATATAACTACTAATAGTTTCTTACATTAATAATATAATCCTTAATTATCTGGACAACGTCAACCATTTTCCGCTGAACACCACACAGTGTTGACAATACATGATATTAAAGGCTTGACTAAGTTAGGGTAATTGGGCAAATCATTGTATAGCGATGGTTTGTTCTATAGACAGTAGAAAAAAATACAGCTTAAAAGAGCTAATAATATTAACCTTAAAATGGTTTTAGTAAAATTAAAATGGTTTTAATTCTAGCCAAAATAAACCAAATAAGACTTTCTCCAGAAGAAAAATTATTATAGTAAATATTGTGAAAAATTCCTTGCTCTGTTAAACATCATTCATTCATTTTCTTGTCGGCTTAGTCCCTTTATTAATCCGGGGTCGCCACAGCGGAATGAACCGCCAACTTATCCAGCAAGTTTTTACGCAGCGGATGCCCTTCCAGCCGCAACCCATCTCTGGGAATCATCCACATACACATTCACACACACACACTCATGTGTACCTGTACCACATGTCTTTGGACTGTGGGGGAAACCGGAGCACCCGGAGGAAACCCACGCGAAGGCAGGGAGAACATGCAAACTCCACACAGAAATGCCAACTGAGCCGAGATTCAAACCAGCGACCTTCTTGCTGTGAAGCGATAGCACTACCTACTGCGCCACTGCCTCGCCCTCTGTTAAACGTCAGTTGGGAAATATTTGAAAACGAAAAAAAAAATTACAGGAGAGCTTACAGGGTTTAACGTTAAGGATTTTTTCTACTGGGCCAATTGGATTCCAGATTTTTTTCTTGCCCTGCCAAAGTTTTCACTGGCCAGACCAAAAAAAAAAAAAGTTAATAGCTATTTCTTATCCACATATTTTAAATAATGTGGCAATAAATAAATAAATCAGTGAATCTAGAATTTAAACATTTAAAATATGTAATAAATGTATAATGAGCAAAATTTAATTGCAAGATTTTATGCAAACGAAAGAGCAGTATGGAAAATGTGCTGGTGTTTTATTGCAATTCTAAATAATTGTTATGAAAATGGCTTGCCAAACTGACGACAACTTTTTTGTTTGTTTGTTTGCTTTAGATTCTTAATTTTGTACCCATGTAATTGTTTGCTTCCAAGACTTTAGAAACAGATGTTTTCTTTTAGCCTAATAGTTTGATGTTGCTGTCATGTTGCCATCGTTTCACTGTACTGGTTGTTACCAGGTTACGAAAAAAAAATTACATGCTCATCGTTACTGGCCGGTCACAATCCTGTCTACTGTCCGGAGCGTATTTCACGCTGGCCCCGGGCCACCGGGCAGTCCTTATTGTTGAGCCCTGGCTAATAATTTTGACCTCAACTGTGTATTTATTAATTTGTGTAAACAATTTATTATTATTTTTTTAATTAAAAGAAGTAGTAATGAGCAGAAATGTGTTTTTCTACAGCTAAAAAAGAAGCTGATCGGGTTGACAAGAGAACATGAAGCTCTCTTCAGCTTTGTAGAGAAAAACAAGCAAATCTGTACAGAGAAAGAAAAGCAGAAGGTATTTGTGACTAAGCTAAAGTGGGTTACCATTATGTTTTTGGACATCAGATGACTTTCTTTTTTATTCTAGATGTTCAACAGATTGAGTAAATCAGCAGAGCTTCAGGTCAGAGTGGATGAAGAATATTTCAACACTAACATGGAGGGTCACCACATCCGCCTGAAGCTGGAGAACACGCTCAAAACATGCTACCAGGTTCAGATTGTTATTTGATACTTTCAGGAAGTTATTGAGTTTTGACTTATTCTGGCCTGTATTTCAGATCGTTCAGGAGCTTGAGAAGCAAAGAATAGAGACTCTGGCCAACACCCTGAACAAGTACAGTCTCTTCATGACTGTTTATTCACAGACCGTCATTCATGTAAGCAAATCTATATGAAAATTATCAAAATGTCAACAAATAAAGCATAATGAATTGTCCCTTCGCTAAGCCCCACCCTCCTTGGTTACTGTTGCTACGCCTGCTTTCGTGCCTGGCACGCCTATAACAATATGTATGCGCCAGTGTCAGACATTGTCAGGGATATTATAGTCTTTTTTTTTTTAAATATTTATTTTTGGCCTTTTTTAGACAGGACAGAATTGAAACAGGAAGCGAAGTGGGAGAGAGAGAGAGAGGAGGTAGGTTAGGGAAATGTCCTCGAGCCGGGATTCGTACTCGCGATGTTCTGACGTGCTTTTGCACCATATGTCAGCGCGCCAACCACTAGGCTATTGCGCCAAGTATAATAGCCATTTTTGGCAAACAAGTGAGATATCTGAGAAAGACAGACAAAAAAGGACTGCAGTATACGTTACAGGAGTATATTCATGACATAATAGACAACAGATTAGAAAATAACAAAACCAAAATTGAAGCTAGCTTAGCCTAGCTGCCTCATAAGCTAGCCATTCAACAGCTCAGTTCATGCACAGCAGGAGAGGTGAAATTTAAAAATAATCTAATATTAACAAATTAAACCGTGATTTCTCTTTATTTCTTTATTTATTTCTCTTTATTTCTTTAGACAACAGATTAGAAAATAACAGAACCAAAATTGAAGCTAGCTTAGCCTAGCTGCCTCATAAGCTGGCCATTCAACAGCTCAGTTCATGCACAGCAGGAGAGGTGAAATTTAAAAATAATCTAATATTAACAAACTAAACCGTGATTTCTCTTTATTTAGCCAAAAAGCCTAATAGATTAATTGTTGTGCAATGAAATGGAGCATTACTAACAGACCAGGAAACACACAGACAGTGTTTCTCCATAATTCATTCAAAGAAAGAGCAGCCAGAAAGGGGAAACTGATGGATTTGTGTTGAATATTAGCACCATTGACCCATAACAATGTGCAAGTAACTATATCTGTCAGTATGTTTGTGTGCGCTTTATCCAGTTTCTATTCTAATGTGCAGTTATGTGGAATAAAAAAAAATCAATTGAACTGCAAACCAAAGTATAAATAGCAGAAGTAAACAAACAGATTTTCCCTACACGCAAATATTAATCAGACACCAAATATAAAAGCAGACACTAACCTACTATAACGTCAATCACCAATGACTACATCTCCAAAAGACTGACGAAGACATCAGTGAATTGTAGCTCTAACTTGGACATGAGGGTTATAAATTACTCAAAAACATCTGCGGGTGAAGTATAATGATCACAAGTGCTCAGAATGTAATCATATCTCGTTTTTTTCTGTTGATATGCATTTTCAAATATTCGCAGCTTGAAACAGATGGAAATGTGACTGCTATTAGTATGACTATGGCGAGGGCTTAACAGAGCAGTGCTCATAATAGAGCAATAAAGAAAAAGACAGCTGTGAAACATGACCTGCTTTGTATTTTTGTATGAAACACAATTAAGATTTGTTTAGGGTAAGAGGTGTGCGAGTTCTTGTCGTCGGTCTATGACTGAATGTGTCAGCAATATCAAAACAAAACCAACTTAACTCCGCTTCTTTAGCGCCCCTCACAGAGCTTGATCCATGCTGGCATTTCTCCTCTTGGGTTTTAGGTTTTGAAAAGAGAAAAATTTCCACCATCTCGTCCAAACTTTAAGGATACCGGGTATCAGATTTGCACAATTAATATGCACAATGCTTTGGCTTGTTTCCCTCGCTCTAAAGTTTAACAGAGCCCCTGCGCGTAGCTGCAGTTGCTAAGCCATGATTGGTGGGTGGCAGTTTTTGGGTGTGGCTTAGCGAAGGGTCAATTCAGTAATGTTCAAGACTTCAAAATTGTTCACACTTTGTTCAACAGTAACATCATAAACATTTTTTAAATTATTATTATTTTAATTGATTTTTAGCCATAATTAATTTTTTATTTTAGCCATAAAATCTAAAGACAAAATTAAGTAGAAAACATAATGGGATAAAAAAAAAGTTTATTAAACATTGAAAACCAAATAATGAACATTTAATGGGGTTTAGTAGCAAAACTAACTAGTAAAAATGATTTATTTTGTATCTAAATATTTTAATAGAATATATCTTAGCATATGAAAACAAAAGTTTTATATATAAAATTGTAAATATTGCATAAAAAAAAGTGAGCTGACACTAAGACACTGTCACATTAGACTCTTGATCTGCGTATTTACCTAATGAATAAACTGCCTTTGGGATTAGTTTTTGTGTCTGATTTGCATGAGCTGGATGTTTTTGCTGTCAGAGCCACAAGCAGATTGATCAGGCTGTGCGGAGGGTGGATGTGGAGAAAGACATTCAGTCTCTGGTTGAGGACGTCGCCACAACAGCGGACGAAAACAAAGCTGAATTTCTCATGGCTGACTACTTTGTAAGACTGACTTTCCGGCACAAATTCATGTATACAGAAACTGAAATTAAATGGACTCATGTTTGTGCGTGTGTGTGTGTGCAGGAGGAGGAGGGAAAGACAATGATGGGAAAAGACAGGAGAAAGGACGCCATCAGGACTAAACTTCAGCGTCTGGAGGACTGGATCACCAAATCTAAAACAGACAGAGAAGGTTTGATCCAGAAGATTTTGCTTTAGTGCTACTGAATCTTTCATTCAAGTGATTTGTTCCAAATGCGGGATTCACCGAATTTCCATTGAACTGAAATTAAACTTCACAAGCCTGATATTTTCTTATTTATTTTAATTTCTCCACGTGGAAGTATATACCACACAAACAAAGACAATTAATCAGTGTGCAAATTACAGGGGGGGGGTCTGACACCCTAATTAACGCTTGATCCCCCATGAAGAGCATCAAATCAAGACGTATGGGGGTCTGTCCTTTAATATTTAAGAAATCGTTTTCTCTGAGCACCCCTATAATGGTCCATACCATTGTGAATGCATGTTTGCACCAAAAATATTTATTTAGCAGCTTGAAAGCAGCAAATCTGGAGCACTAACAGACAGTATAAGTGCTCACAAAGCATGTTTCTTGTATTATAGGCATTTGTACTGTAGGTGTCCATAAAACTAGATGCATATTTTATTATACACTTGCTCGCACATGGAAGTTAAACAGCAAAACAAAAAATATGTGCAGTCTTTCATGGTCATTCATTAATAGATGCAGGAATGCAAACCATTTAATTAATAATCACAAATGTCATTGAGAACCACTCAATATCCTTTAAAACAAAAGTTTAATGAATAAATTAAATAAAATATGTAACTTTGGTTCGCTAAGGTATATTACCGAGCATAACCGGAAAAAACTTGACCCCCTCGATAGTCAAAGTATAATTCGCACCCTGCAATTAATATATACACAATTGCGCAGTCTTTGAACATAAACAGTCAGTTTAAATTATATAGATAATGAGGTTAATATATACTTTAGAATGTGATGCAATGATATCCACATATCCTCCCTCTGGAAATAATCATAGAGAAATGTAGAATAAAGAGTCACCGACCGTGTCGAGGAATACTCTGATAGTTCAAACGCCAATGTTCCACCCTTTCTAGAAAACACAATGATGAACGTTGTTCCTTGAAACCCAAATCAACAATCAGTGTTGTCCATTTAAAGTATGCATCAAACAATCATCAATCATTGAAACCTCCAGTACAACAGGTCCTGTCTACATAAGAAATAAACTAAAAGCAAATCTTAACTTAATATTGAAAATACATTCAAGCTTAAACACTCAGTCAATACTCACATTTAAGAAGCAACAATAAAGTTCTCAAAATACCAGAACCAGAGTGGGTTGGTGGCATCAGTTCACATGCCCTCTATCAAATGCAACTCACTTGCTCTATGGTGGCCTGGAATATATCCGGTTATCAATCCCCTCTAGCAGAGCCTAGTGGCTCTTACTGACATTATATCCAGTTTATCACACCACAAGGAACCAATGATAATTATTAAAGCATGTAATACTTGTTCGTTACAAAATGAAGCAAACAACTCTTAATGAATGATAACAGTATATTTGGCTTACTTGATTCATTCAGCATCCAAACATTGCAGTGTTGCTCTGAGACTTGCAAAACAGATAATTTTGGCCGGCAACTCCTCAGAACATTCTCCACTGTTCCATGGTCTTGCCATTTGTAGATATTGGGTGATTTGCTGTAGTCTCAAAGCTTTAGAAATGGCTTTATAACCTTTTTTAGACTGGTAGATCTCAATTATTTTCTTTCTCGTTTGTTTTTATTGTCTTTGGATCTCAACATGATGTCTAGCTTTTGATGATCTTTTGCTCTTCTACTTCTTCTTCTTCGTGTTGTTTTATGGCAGGTGGCATCCAACTTTAAGGTGCATTACCGCCACCTACTATACTGGAGTGTGAACCAGAATGATTATGAAGCTCATAGTATATGTTATATTCTATATATTAGCCCAGTTTGCCTTAAAAATGAAATTAAATAACTTTAGTACTCTGTTTGGCTAAGCATTTGATTTGTTTCTATTGTACCCTGCTGTATTTTCTTGAATACTTCCCTTTCTTTATATTTCTGACAATGACTTATTATATGATCAACTGATTCTTTCACTAGACAATATTCGCATAACCCAGTAGGATGCTTTCCAATGATATGCAATGTTTTATTTAATTTAGTGTGCCCTAGTCTTAATCTAGATATTACATTGTCTTCCAACATACTTCTTCTCCTCTTCATCCTGCCTACTTTCTTTTGAATGTTAAAACGATGTGTCCCAGTATTTACATTGTCCCATTTATTTTGCCATTTAATATTGATTTTCTCTTTAATTATTGCTTTCATCTTTTTTTACTGAATGGTATTTCCATAACATTTTCCTGCCTTATTGCCTCCTTCGCCAGTATATCAGCTGTTTCATTCCCTTTAATGATCTACTTCACTTTGTCAGGTCCTATTTAAGTGATTTCTTGATTGCGAACAGGTGTGGCAGTGATTAGGCCTGGGTGTGGCTAAATAAATTGAACTCAGGTGTGAAAGCAGATTTACATACTACCAGACGCATCGGTAGATTTTACAATATAAGAAAAGAGAGAAAAGGATGAGGAGTGTAATTTATTTTATGTACAAAAATATATTAATGAATTTTACAGTCATGTTAAAATATATAAAGATGCCTCTAAGAGTTTAAATCGAGTAGGTGTGGCTTTTACAGTTCCTGAATTTCAAATATCAGTAGGAAAAAGGATTAGTGACGAAGTATCTGTATATACAGGAGAAATGATAGCACTTTTATTAGCATGTCAATGGGTAGAGGAGATAAGACCTTTAAAATCAGTTATCTGTTCAGACTCGAGTTCTTCACTTACAAGCTTACAATATAGTAATTCAGAAAGTAGACCAGACATTTAATTAGAAATAATGCAAACCTTGTACAGAATTCAAATGATGGGTCTAACAGTAATATTTTTTATGGGTTTCTGCTCATATTGGTATTCAAAGAAATGAAATTGCAGATAAGGAAGCAAAACAAGCTGTCAAAAATAATGACATCAGTCTAAATGTAAGTATAAGTAAAACTGAAGAGTATTATTAAGAAAAGAATGAAGGAAAGGTGGCAAAGACAATGGGACAATGAAAATAAAGGCCGGTGTTTTTATAAAATTCAAAAGAAAGTAGGAGAAATGAGAAGTGTCGGAAAAAACAGGAGAGAGGAGATAATATCCAGGATGAGATTTGGACACACAAAATTAAATAGTACACTTTTTAAAATGGGGAAACATGGCACAGGACAATGTGAGTTTTGTGGACAAGAGGAGACAGTAACATGTGATATTACACTGCAAGAAATATGAAGATGAAAGGAGAGAACTTAGTAAGAATTTAGATGAAATAAAAGTTCAATTCAAATTAGATGACATCCTACAAAATAATTCAGGAAATAAATGTTTTACCTTTTTATCAAAATATCTTAAAAATTCGCATTTATGGGGGAGGATTTAATTAAAGAAAGTGGAAGTGAGGGCTAAATCATAATGATCCACACTCTATACCAGTTGGTGGCGGAAATACACCATTTTGTTGTTTGTCAACCGCCATTAAATTGAAGAAGACGAAGAAGAAGAAGCAGATTTACGTTATGCTTTAACAGGGGGCAAACACTTTCACACATTGTTTTACATATATTTTTAGATTTAGTTTTCTCTTAATGATAAAAACCTTCATTTCAGAACTGCATGATGTGTTTACTTGTGTTATCTATGACTAAAATTTCAATTTCTTAAATGATTTGAAACATTAATGTGTGACAAACATGCAAGCAATTAAGAAATCATTTTTAAGTACAACTGTATATGTATATATAATTTAAACATAACTTGTCTCTTGTCTGTCTGGTCAGGCGCAACGAGAGAAGTGGGAAACTGCTGGTGATTTTATGGAAAGCTAAATTTTGTGTGAAATGCCCCCTTTAAAAGAACATTTTATTCCTCAGAGATCTTATTAGGTGTTCCTGTGCTGTTATAATGTACGCCTTTAGCTCAGCACTGACACATAAATCTGGTTTTCAGGTTTAGAGAAGATGGTGAAAGTCTATACAGAGCAACCAAACTTCTCAAACCAGAAAAACCTGGAGGAAACCGAGCAGTTACTGGAGGAGGTGAGACACTCTTACATGTAATAACAAACATGTAACATCTAAATTACATTTTCATTGAGACTTTTTGACTATTTAAAGGTGCAGTATGTACGTTTTTGACTCTTTTAATGCATAATAATAGCATGCTACGTTTGCAGATATTTACCAAACAAGTGAACGTACTTGATTATCTGTTAAACATTGCTTAAAGTCAGTTATTCTCCTTGGAAAACGTGTATCACGGGTCAGTATGTCTGTCTCAGTTTTGGAATCTATAACCAGCCCACTGCCAGTTTACCCAATTATATTTCAGCACCTTGGGTTGCCTTGATAGTAAACAAACCGTTTTTTTCTTCAGTTATGAAGGCTGCATCGATGTATGCGGGTATGGCCAAAAATGCAGATACAGTGCTATAAAAATCCACATAAGCTGTTTTTTTAATTAGTAAATAATATAAATAGTACAAACATAAATGTTAGCTGAGCAGCTTAGTGTAATGCTTGATTGTTAGGCATGCTCACTCCTGTTAATGTCGTCAATCTGGCAACCTGCTTGTGAGTCAAGTCATCGTAGGAGGGGCCAGTTGATCAAACACAGTCTAATATTTTGAATTTGGACTGCAATATCTAGTTCAACCACTAGGTATTTCTGTCCAATTTCAAAGTGTACAATATTATATACAGTAACTTTTAATATTTGGTTTATTAAACTATTGTCTGATTCATCTCGACAGGCCATCCTCAAACTAGACCTTTTAGAGGCAACGCACTGCAAACTGACTCACAGTCTGGCAGAGATTGAAGGGAAACCCAAATCAAGACATCGATTCAGCGACAGCATCACAAAATGGAAAGAAAAGGTGCGTTTTACAATTTCTGTCCAACAATCCACTGACTTTTTTTATTTGAATTTATTTATAGAAGGTAAAACTGTTATCAGTATTCATTTTAAATGCAAATGTTTTAGAAGTTTCATTGTAGTTCTGCAGGGAATCTAATAATTGCTAAAATTAATTAAAAAAATTCTGAAACGACTAAATTACTTGAACCAAATTTCAAATGTAAAAAATAAAAATAATAAAAATAAATGTAATAAAAACTATAACGGTTTAATTACTTGTATTTGAAATTAATTATATTTTCATTTTAGTCAAATTATCACCAGCAGCATCATTCATTCATTTATTTTCAGCTTAGTCCCTTTATTAATCTGGGGTCGCCACTTTGGAATGAACCGCCAACTTATCCAGCATGTGTTTTACGCAGCGGATCCAGCTTCAACCCATCACACACCCATACACACTCATTTACACACATACACTATTGACAATTTAGCTTACCCAATTTATCTATACCACATGTTTTTAAACTGTGGGGGAAACCGGAGCACTCGGAGTAAACCCACGTAAACACGAGAATAATATGCAAACTCCACACAGAAATGCCAACTAATCCGCTACCCACTGCTCCACCCCTATAGGGGGATTGAATAAACTAAATTGGCTGTAGTGTGTGTGTGTGTGAGTTTGAGTGTGGTTGGCTGTTTCTCAGTACTGGGTTGCAGCTGGAAGGGCATCCGCAGTGTAAAACATATGCTGGATAAGTTGGCAGTTCATTCCGCTGTGATGACCTCTGATGAATAAAGGGACAAATCTGAAGGAAAATGAATGAATGAATATTATGGTGGATTTATATTAATATAAATAAGTAAATATATTATTTTAAAGATTTATTTTAAAAGTTATAGTCAAATTAAACTTCATCCATTGCTGATTGTCAGTTATTATCATTATTGTATTATTTTTTATTTGTTTACTATTTATTGAGATCCAATACATATTCAAAAATATATCAGTTACAGGTAGTTGGCATGACTATATGTGTGTTTATGTAGTACTAAAATTGTGCAATTGTATTTGTGTTAAATAACTAAAACTAAACTTAAAAATTTAACGATATTTACATTTATAAAAACATGACATATCACAGTTTTAAAGTACTGACTAAAATAGACCATTTTAAACAAACAAGCAAAATATTATAACAGTGGATTCAATAAATCCTATAGTCTATAAAACTGAATTGAAATATGTAAAACCAGGACATGAAAAAGCATGTAAATGTGTTTATTGAGAGCACTAATTTAGCTTCATGTTTTTTTTATGACCTTGCTACAATTTCTTGACTGTGATATATGCATTTCCTTAAGGCCACAGTCTGGAAACAGCCAAGGTTGAATAAAAAGACTCAGTTTTGTGTCTGGTTTTGCTCCAGGACTGTGAGCACAGTGTAGTGCAGCTTTCTCGACCGGTGAGGATCAAAAAGACTCCTTTCAGATCACGTCAGTCCATGAGGGCAACAGTGAGCAATGAGACAAGCCCAAGCCCTGAAGGGACTGGAGAAAACCCCTTGAATGAGGCGACCAATTCTGATGGCCAAAAGAATGGCCCGGTTAATGGAAGTGTATCTGAATATGAAGACGATAAAGGTAAATATACACAATACAGGTGATGTTTAAAGTCCAAAATAACCGAAAGTTGTTTTATTTTATTTTATTTTATTTTTTTTTTTTGTATTGTGATGCAGTTCTGATAAAAAACGGAATATTAAATGAGAAAACAGTGGGCGTAGATTGTTTTTTTCTAATGCTAGCTGATTGGATGTAGTAAAGAAGGCATTTCATTTAAAAAAGATCAGGAAAAGAGTTTGGGGAGAGTTATTACAACCTAACAGACACCTCCTAGTCACCATTTCTGTTTGTTGTGACAGCTGGAGGAGGGTGGCTAAGTATGTTAGCCACACCCCTTACCTCAGACAGACGTAATCTGAGAATTTAAGCACCTCTAAAAAGCCAGGAAAGTGAGTGAGTCCAGGGGCCTCATGTATCAACGCTGCGTACGCACAAAAACTTTGCGTGCACCAGGTTTCACGCTCAGAATCGCTCACGTTTGGATTTACTAACGATTAAATGAACGTGAGAATGTGCGTTGTTCCACGCCAACTTCATGGCAGGCGTACGCACAGTTCTTGTGCGTGTTTGTTTTATTTCCATTGGCGACTTCTAGAGGCAATTGTGTTAAATAACTACAAAGTATTTTTGAGCCGTGCAATGGCAGCTGACAGCTGTATGGGACGAGATCATCCGCATGTCTAGCAGGTATATAAGGTTTCCATACCATACAGTTGACCAGCCAAACATTAAAGCACAATTTGCAGCGGTCGCCTGTCTTCCCAAGGTAATTAGAGCGATCAACTGCACTCACATTGCTATAAAGGCGCCATCTGAAGACGAATTTGCATATGTGAACCAGAAAAATTTCCATTCAATAAATGTGCAAATAATACGTGATGCTCAAATGCGCTTAACATAATACACACACTTATTAATGATTCCTACTTGTCTTCCTCATGATGTAGAGTAGGCAAAATCTGATACGTAGTGGGGGAAAAAGAAGAATGAGTTCATCAGACGCTGGATTCGAACCGCGTTCTTGAATGACAGGGTCAAAACATGTTGCCATGTGTGGTACGAGCTACGCCACTCACACTGTTGATGTCCTCCCTCTTTAGCTTTGTTGTCTCTGCCGATCAAACAAGCGGAAATCACTCAACTAGCTCATTCCAAAGACAAACTTGCAAATAACACCGTTTTTCTTCGGTCTACCTCCGATAGGAGCACCTCCAATTCACATTCTGTTCAAAGTTCTGTTTAGTTTAGAGTGTTGGGGAGGGAAAGTATAAAAATTGGAGTTTTCAGTTCGAGCATGTGCAGAATTTCACAGAGGTAAAACAACACAGATGCAGGGGAGAAGTTGACTGCGTTTACATGGACATCAGTAAAAGAATTATTTGACAAGTTCTTAATTTGTTTACTTTAACTGCTGTTTGGCACTTTCACTTTTATTCAGGAACATGTTATGCATGCCCCCCGTGAAAAACGAGATATTGCATACGAGGAACTGCTGGAAGAATGTTGTTTTAATGGAATGGTTGATACCGCACAATGAATTGAGGAAAAAAACCTAATGTACTGTAACGTTGCGTACTGTACACTTAACGTACTGTAAACTTAGTAACTATATAATTTTGACTACGGTATGTCTTTTAAACACTGAAAGAGTTCTGCTGATGATACTAACCAACTTTGCCATCTGAATAAACAAACAAAGACCACTGATCGCTTACCAAATCTGTAGAGACAGGACAATCAACACCAACTGGAACTGCGTTTTTTTTAAAAGGAGATGAGCAACAAATCTGGATTTTACCATTTCCAGATGCATTAAAGCTCTCATGTAAAAAAATCGCGTACACTGTAATCCACACTTGAGTCCAGCTGCGCTCTCATAGCAGGGAAATGAAAACAAAACCTTTATTGCAGCACATTTATAAACACAACACTGAACCATGTCTCCAAACAATTCTTCTTCTTCCTCTTGTTTTTTTCAACACAGTGTATCCTCTCTCTGTCGTTTTCGAAGCTATCATGCATATTAAAGTTGCACTGCGCACACCAGGGATGTCCAGACTCAGTCCTGGAGGGCCGGTCTCCTGCAAAGTTTAGTTTCAACCCCAATCACACACAGATGGCCTAGCTAATCAAGCTCTTACTAGGCGTTCTAGAAACATCCTGGCAGGTGTGTTGAATCAAGTTGGAGCTAAAATCTGCAGGACACCGGCCCTCCAGGAGCGAGTTTGGACACCCCTGGCATACACAATAGAGCGCTTATAGGTTTAAAGCAAGTCTTTCTCATGTATTAATGCTGCTCACTCAAATGCGTCACGTTGTACTCGCTGGTACAGACATCCAGTCTCCATGCTGGAATACACACAAGGATCTTATGGTCAAGACGTAGCTTTGAAAATTCGTTTCAAAGCGGAAGAATGAATTTGCTCAAACTTTTTAGTGAAATATATGTGTCCTAATGGTGTTTTAAGCAGCTTGAGACACATATATGACTGTCAACATCTCAAAAAATGTGTTCTGGCGTTTCGTGACCCTTTAACTGAAAAAAATAACAGGAAGTGCATTTTCAGATTTCTATTAAAGATTAAAAGGACAAACTACTTTTTGCCTTTTAGCCACAAAACTAGCAATGTGAACTAACAATACCATAAGATTAGTTTATGTTAGCTTCATTTATACCTTAACAGTGAAATTTTACAGCATTTACAATTATATTTTTTCATCTACAGAAAGTC